CTCCTAATACACAGGCATCAGGACACCTACCTCTCACCTCCTCCTAATACACAGATATCAGGACACCTACCTCTCACCTCCTCCTAATACACAGACATCAGGACACGTATCTCTCACCTCCTCCTAATACACAGACTTCAGGACACCTACCTCTCCCCTCCTCCTAATACACAGACATCAGGACACCTACCTCTCCCCTCCTCCTAATACACAGACATCAGGACACCTACCTCTCACCTCCTCCTAATACACAGACATCAGGACACCTACCTCTCACCTCCTCCTAATACACAGACATCAGGACACCTACCTCTCACTTCCTCCTAATACACAGACATCAGGACACCTACCTCTCACCTCCTTCTAATACACAGACATCAGGACACCTACCTCTCACCTCCTCCTAATACACAGACATCAGGCCACCTAACTCTCACCTCCTCCTAATACACAGACATCAGGACACCTACCTCTCACCTCCTCCTAATACACAGACATCAGGGCACCTACCTCTCACACCTCCTAATACACAGACATCTACCTCTCACCTCCTCCTAATACACAGACATCAGGACACGTATCTCTCACCTCCTCCTAATACACAGACATCAGGACACGTACCTCTCACCTCCTCCTAATACACAGACATCAGGACACCTTCCTCCTAAAACACAGACATCAGGACACCTACCTCTCACCTCCTCCTAATACACAGACATCAGGACACGTACCTCTCACCTCCTCCTAATACACAGACATCAGGACACCTACCTCTCACCTCCTCCTAATACACAGACATCAGGGCACCTACCTCTCACACCTCCTAATACACAGACATCTACCTCTCACCTCCTCCTAATACACAGACATCAGGACACGTACCTCTCACCTCCTCCTAACACACAGACATCAGGACACGTACCTCTCACCTCCTCCTAATACACAGACATCAGGACACCTTCCTCCTAAAACACAGACATCAGGACACCTACCTCTCACCTCCTCCTAATACACAGACATCAGGACACGTACCTCTCACCTCCTCCTAATACACAGACATCAGGACACCTACCTCTCACCTCCTCCTAATACACAGACATCAGGACACCTACCTCTCACCTCCTCCTAATACACAGACATCAGGACACCTACCTCTCACCTCCTCCTAATACACAGACATCAGGACACGTGCCTCTCACCTCCCTCCTAATACCAGACATCAGGACACTGCCTCTCGCCTCCTCCTATTACACAGATATCAGGACGCCTACCTCTCCCTCCTCATACACAGACATCAGGACACCCTGCCTCTCCTCCTCCTAATACACAGACATCAGGACACCTACCTCTCCCCTCCTAATACACAGACATCAGGACACCTACCTCTCCCCTCCTAATACACAGACATCAGGACACCTACCTCTCCCCTCCTCCTAATACACAGACATCAGGACACCTACCTCTCGCCTCCTCCTAATACACAGAGATCAGGACACCTACCTCTCACCTCCTCCTAATACACAGACATCAGGACACCTACCTCTCACCTCCTCCTAATACACAGACATCAGGGCACCTACCTCTCACCTCCTCCTAATACCCGGACATCAGGTCACTTACCTCTCACCCCCTCCTAATACAGAGATATTAATTTACTGTCTGACCCATTCTCTAATACCAGGATTTGTACCTTATTTTCTCTCCAGGGCGAGGTCTCTTCTTCTTCTCGATTCTTTTGGTTGAAATGTTCAGTTCTTGGTCCATGGCAGAGAGCCGGGCTATGCTAGGGATGCCAGTGTGCTGGTGCCCGGTGCTGGCCAGTGTGAGGGTTCTGTTGTGTTTGGGAACTGAAAGTCTTTTCCCATGTTTTCCAGCTGTGTGCCCATCCAGGACTTTAGACATAGGGAGATCTATGGCCCCTGCCAGACACAGGAAAACACTTACACTCATACTTAGGAGAACACTCATACTCAGAACCATCATTGTGTGTCTCATCAAACTCAACTCCTAGCACATCTGGAGTGGTACTTTATGAAGAGAGAGTGAGCTTGGTGTGCGAGTGGGTGTGAGAGGGTGCATGGAGTGCTATATAGGGGACAAAGGATAGGATCAGAAAATTCAGAAAATAAAAAAAGCTGAAGCAGGGAGTATGAGTGAATGAGGACAGTGTGTGTGTAGTCTCCTCGTCTGCAAGTCCAAAGTTAATTCCCACTTGTGAGATGTGTGAGAATTCCCTTTTATTCTCACTCCCCCTTATAGTCCTTCTCTCTCCCCTTCGCCAATAGAAGCCTGCTCTCCCCTCAGCCCCCCTCTGCTCTCCCCCTCCAGCCCTGCCCCACCATGCAGGGGGCACTCACAGCTACAGGTGTCCAGGAAGGTGTGACTAGTATATAGAGTAGTATGGAGTATGTCAGTTAGACTAAATACATTATAAATAATTATAAATAAAACAAAATGTACGTACTGTTTATATTTTATTATAAACACTGTATGCCCACTATCTGTACATCTCAGGGGATTACTCACTAAGCAGTGAGTCGCAGCAAATAGAAAGTGAATAATAAGATTTCACTTAAACCAGCCATGCTGAGACTATCGAATAAACCCAATTATCGACAGTATCGCAATTTCATTCTCTCACCGAGAGTCGTAATATTAGATTTATTTAAAACCTGTTTATTTAATAAAATAAATATTATATAGCCTAAAAAATATAAAATAAATAAAGTAAATTAAATTAAAAATAATTAATTATTCTAATTATGAATTATAATTATAATATCTAATATTAATTAAACAATGAACTATGGGTCAGTCAGGGTCAGTTTACTCCCAGAGATACAGAATCAGACAGAGAATAAGGAAAAGGAGAGTACCTTAAAGGCACAGCACGCAACTTGGCATTAAACCATTACACGGACACTCCATACAGTGACACAGGGACACACCATACAACTACACAGGGACACTCCATACAGCCACACAGGGACACACCATACAGTGACACAGGGACACTCCATACAGCCACACAGGGACACAACATACAATGACACAGGGACACTCCATACAGCCACACAGGGACACTCCATACAATAACACAGGGACACTCCATACAGTGACACAGGGACACTCCATACAGCCACACAGGGACACTCCATACAATGACACAGGGACACTCCATACAGTGACACAGGG